AATGAGTAAGAAACGAGAAAAACAACTGAACCTTAATTACCTTAATTGCAGAACTGGAAGGACTAAAGGACCTAAAAATGATGATATAGAGTTAGTAAGAAACAAAGTGTAAGCAGAAATAAAAATAAAAGGAAAGAAAAATACCTTGAGACTGAAAGAACTGAGGAAACGAACCCTATACTGAAAACGAGATTCGATAAACAAATAAACATGACGCGATCATGTGGCCAATTTGGCCAATCAAAAATAATAAATCCGTCACGTGATCGAAGACTTATATAAGAGAAGTAACGTAATAGATCATGTGACTTTACGTTACTTACTTAGCCAATTTCCGTTACTTACTTTCTATATATTCACTCTCAATAATTGCTTTTTTATTGATTACTGAATTTTGAAATCGACTATTAAGACTGATCAAACTAATCAAATAATCATATTTCTAAATATTAAGTTCTTGCTTTTTTTGTTACACTGCCAAAAAAATTTTGTGTTTATGATTATGATGATTAATTTAATAGGATTTCTTTTGTGTCACAATTTTAGGCACAACCATTTACCGTAACATATAATTAAATTCTACCCACGTGACCGGTGACATTTAAGGGGATGTTAAAAAAATAATTTTGGGAGGTCCCTCAGATAAAATAAATATCAACAGTGAAAAAGCGCGGCGGCGGTGATGAATGTTTTTAGGTCACGTGGGTTATAAATTAATGGGAAAGATGGCACAACCATGGAAGTTATGTGGACAAATTTACACTGCATGGAATTTGGTGTAATTGTTATTACGCCAACTTCTTTTTTTCCAACGCGTCGATCACAATATTTTTTTTTAAAAAAAAAAAAAGTTTCAAACAAAAAAAAAAAATTCAAACATGTCATCCCGAAATGATATTAAGTGTAAAAATTGTAATGATTTTTATACAGATATAAAACATAAATGGTGTAAACCATGTCAAATAAATAAAGTTATAAAAAGTGTTACAAATTGGACTAGTGGAAATGAAAAAATTGAACATTTTATTCAAGAAGCACAATTAATGTTTGAAGGATATTATGATGCAATAGTTGAATGGATACCATACAATCAATTTAACGATATCAAAGAAATAAATAAAAGTAAATTTTCTGCAGTATATTCAGCAATATGGAAAGATGGTCCATTGCAACATGATGAACATTATGAAGAGTTGAGGAGAGTATCTAACAAAGAAGTTATCTTAAAATATTTCTATAACTTACAAAATATTGTCAATGATTTATTATATGAGGTATGAAATTTTCAATTTCTTTATAATATTATTTAAGTACTGTTTATTATAACAATCACTTTTTATATTCAACAGGCTAAATTATATTCTATTGAAAGGGTAAATATGATCTTTTTAATATCTTATAATCTCATTCAATCACTCTTTATTTAATACCTTTCTATATTTAACAGATTATACCAAATTATACAAAAAGAGACGGAGATTATCTTAAAATATATGGAATATCTCAAAATCCAGATACAAAATATTATATCTTAGTTTTTAATGATAGTTATTGTCTAAAATGTGGTGAAATTTATACAGAAGATAGGAAATTAAATAATAAATGGTGCAAGCCATGTCAAATGAATAATTTAAAAAATCGGTTTGAAGACTGGACCAGTGGAAACGAAAAAATTAATAAATTTATTCAAAAACTTCAATTAAAAATCAATCATCATAGTGATATTATAATTGAATGGATACCATATTACCAGTTTAGTGATATTAAAAAAATAAGCAAAAGTGATCTTACTGAAGTATATTCAGCAAAGTGGAAAGATGGACCATTTCAATATGATAAGAATTTGGGAGAGTACTTAAGATTACCTTACAAAGAAATTGCTTTGAAGTATTTTTATAATTTACAAAATATCAATGATTTTTTATTTGAGGTATGGAATTTCTGGTTCTTTTATAATTAAATACTTTTATTATAACGATAATAACTTTTCTATATTATATTTTAACAGATTAAATCTTATTCTATAGAAATAGATTCTTATTTTATAGAAATGGATAAGAACTATAACAGTTTTAATATATATGGGATATCTCAAAATCCAAATACAAAAGATTATATCGTAGTCCTTAATAATGGTTATTGTGAAAACTGTAGTAAAGTATATACAAATATAAAGGAAAAATGGTGCAAAACATGCCAATTAAATAATTCCGAAAAAAAATTTTCATTTGGAATCAGTGAAAATGAAAACATTGATAATTTCATCCAAGAAATGCAACTTAAAATTAGTTGTTCAAGTGATATAATAGTTGAATGGATACCATACAACCAATTTGGCATTATTAAAGAAATAAGTAAAGGTGATTCTACTGCGGTATATTCAGCAATCTGGAAAGATGGTCCATTACAACATGATAAACATAACGGAGAGTTGAGAAGAATGCCTAATAAAGAAGTTGCTTTAAAATATTTGTGTAATTCTCAAGATCTTAATAATGAATTTATAAATGTGGTATGAATTTTAATTAATTGTTGTTATCTAATTTAAATATTTTATTTGTTATAATAATTTTTACATCTTAACAGGTTAAATCATATTCTATTGAAGTCGATCCATATAATTATATTCTTAATATACATGGAATATCTCAAAATCTAAATACAAAAGATTATGTTATAGTTCTTGATAATGGTTATTGTGAAAACTGTAGTGAAGTATATACAAATATAAAGGAAAAATGGTGTAAAACATGTCAATTAAATAGTTTTGAAAAAAAATTTTCATATGGAATTAGTGAAAATGAAATCATTGATAATTTCATCCAAGAAATGCAACTTAAAATTAGCCATCCAAGTGATATAATAGTTGAATGGATACCATACAACCAGCAATTCGATTGTATTGAAGAAATAGGCAAAATTGGTTCTACTATATTATATTCAGCAATATGGAAAGATGGTCCATTACAAATTGATGAACATTATGGTATATTAAAAAGGATATCCGATAAAAAAGTTACTCTAAAATATTTACATAATTCATATAATTCATCAAATATTGCTAATAAATTATTAAATGAGGTAAATGTTTTTCTTAAAATTAAGTAATTATTTGTTTTAATAATATAATAATGACATTTCTATATAAATAGTTTGGTCAACAACATTTTATTCGTAGAACAGGTTTAATTCTTAATTTATTTGGTTTAACCCAAAATTCAAATACAAATAATTATATTTTAGTTTTTAATAATAATTATTGTGAAAATTGTAATAATAAATCATATACACATATAAATTATAAGTGGTGTAAACAGTGTCAATTAAATAATTTAAAGAAATCTTTTGTAAATTGGGCCAGTGGAAATGAAAAAATTGATAATTTTATTCAAGAAATGCAATTAAAAATTAATGATGATTATGATATTATAGTTGAATGGATACCATATAACCAGTTTAGTGATATTAAAGAAATAAGTAAGAATGATTCTTTTGCAGTATATTCAGCAGTATGGAAAAGTGGCCCATTAAGATATGATACATTTTATAATAAGTTACAAAGATATTCACTTGTTGATAATAAAGTTTTTTTAAAATATTTTTATAGTTTACAAAATATTACTAATGAGGTATGAACTTAATCTTTTTAATTTTTTTTTAAATTTAATTAATCATTTTTATATTTCATTTTATATTTTCATAGATTGAATCATATTCCAATAATACATTCAATGGTAATCAGAAAATATATGGAGTATCTCAGAATTCAAATACAAAAGATTATCTTATAATATTTCAAGATTATTGTTGTAAAAACTGTGGTGAAATAAATGTGGTGGGTAATTTTGGATGGTGTAAACCATGTCAAATAAATAATTTAAAACAAAATTTTGAAAATTGGACTAGTAAAAATAAGGAAATTGATGAATTAATTCAGAAAATGCAATTAAAAATTGGTAAAGATGATGATATAATTATTGAATGGATATCATACAATCAATTTATTAATATTAAAGAGATAAGTAAAGATGATTTTGCTATGATATATTCAGCAATATGGATGGAAGGTCCACTACAATATGATTGGTATAATGGTAGAGAGCAAAAAAGAATGTTTACTAATAAAAAAGTTGCTTTAAAATATTTATGTAATTCACAAGATATTAATGAAATTTTAAATGAGGTATAAATTTGTCTTTTTTCTAAATTTAATCAAATACTTGATTAAAATTAATTCGTTTAATTTATTAGATTAGAGAGCATTCTATCAGTAATGATGATGAAATTCTTAATATATATGGAATATCTCAATATCCAAGTACAAAAAATTACATTATAGTACTTCAAGATGGTTATTGTAAAGACTGTGGTAGAATATATACAAATGTAAATAAAAAATGGTGTAAACCATGTCAATTAAATAATTTAGAAAAAAATCTTTCATATGGAATTAGTGAAAATGAAAGCATTGATAATTTCATCCAAGAAATGCAACTTAAAATTAGTTGTCCAAGTGATATAATAGTTGAATGGATACCATATAATCAATTTAGCAATATTGAAGAAATAGGTAAAGGCGGTTTTGCTATAGTATATTCAGCAATATGGAAAGATGGTCCGTTAAAAATTGATTATAGATATGACGGAAAGTTGAAAAGAATACCTAATAAGAAAGTTGCTTTGAAGTGTTTAAATAATTCACAAAATATCAATAATAAATTTTTAAATGAGGTATGAATTCATTTTTTTTTTTGAATTTAATAAACATTTTTTCAATGCATAGTATTTATTATATTTTGAATTTGACAAACCTTGTCTTTAATGGATATTATTTATTTTTATAGGTTAAAGAGTATTCTATTAGCAATAATGATAATATTCTTAATTTATATGGAATATCTCAAAATCCTGATACAAAAGATTATATTATGATTTTAAATTATGCAAATAATGGGAATATTAATAATTATAGTTATATTAATATTGAATGGTATTGGTTTGAAAGATTATGGATGTTAAGAGATATTATTGAAGGTCTTAAAAAAATTCATGGAAATAATATGATCCATCGTGATTTTCACACGGGGAATATATTATTATCACTTGATTTTAATAGTTATGGCAAATCTGGAAATCCGTCTAGTGATTTATATATTTCAGATATGGGATTATGTGGAGAAGTTGGTAATGTAGATGAAACAAAGATTTATGGAGTTATGCCTTATGTAGCCCCAGAAGTATTAAAAAGCAAACCTTACACCCAAGCAGCAGATATATACAGTTTTGGTATGATTATGTATTTTGTAGCAACTAAAAAACAACCCTTTGCAAATTGTGCTCATGATAATATATTAGCATTAAATATATGTAATGGAAATAGACCTAAAATCAATGAAAACGAGGTTCCAAAATGTTATGTTGATTTAATGGAAAGGTGTTGGGATTTAAATCCAAATAATAGGCCAAGTGCTATTGAAGTAAGTGAATTGATTGAATTATTTTGTAATTCCAGTTATATGGGTGCTAATAAGGATAAGGAAATTGAAAAGCAATTTAAAGAAGCAGAAGAATATAGAAAAGCAAATTATACATCTATAGGAAATAGTCAATTAACTAGTCACCATCCACAAGCTTATTACACTTCTCGATTACTCAATCCATTTACCAGAGATCTTTCAAATAATGATACTGATTGTTTAGACTGTATGATTGATTGAACTAAAGTTAGTATAATTATTATTATTATTTTATTGTTTCAGTCAAATAGTTTTAAAAAAGTAATTAGTGTATTTTATTGAATGTTGATATATATGATAACAAATGATAATATCTAATATATTTATTATTTATTTTATTATTACATCATTATTTGTAAGAATTCTTGGTCATCCGGTAAATCATTCACACATGAAATTCCATCAGCAAAGTTTTAGAAATGGTAGATTTGCCAATATTAAGTTGTCCACCTATTATTTTACATGAGGATTTTAAAATTCTATTAATTATATTATAGCATGAAATATAAAAGGTGTAACACATTATCGAAACTTATATATTCTAATTACAGTCTCCTTTATTTTATATAAGACGCAACAAATTTAATCCTACTATTAAATATTAACCAATTTTATAATTAGGATTTAAGAAATTATTAATATTTTTTTTTATTGATTGATGCCATTGTATGTTGTTCAACACTAATTATAGAGTATATGTGATTGTTTTTACATAAGTAAAATTAGTTTGTAATTGAACAAATAAAATATAAGATTTGAAAATATCAACTTATGATGGTTATAATTTGCTTATTAATATTATATTTATATTTATTATTAACTACACAGTGAAATTCGATAAGCCGGTTCCACTAAAAATATCCAGTTTATCGGGATATTCGGTATAGCGAAAAAATTTCGATATACTAAAAATCTATTATACTGAATTTTCATGCTAATAAAACTAATATACGCTATAATTTAATTTTTTAATCTTAGTTTTAAGTCATAGAGTTCATGAAAATGAATATAAAAACTTTTAATTGAAGATATAAGTAATACATAACTTCAGCCGGAATTAAGATTTTTGTAATTCTGGCCAAAATTAAGATTTACCACATCACGTAAATTAAATTTATTGGTTAATGATCACGTGATCCGGTTTATCGAATCATTTTTACTATAGCTGGTTAGAAAATTGATCCGTTATAGCAAATATCGAGCTTTTACTAGTAAACTCCGGTATATCAAAGCTATTTTAATATAGTACGTGATTTGGTTCCAGCAAAAAAGTCTGGTTTAGGCCCAAATCCGGTTTATCAAAGATCTGGTTTATCGAATTTCACTGTGTATAACATTTTTTTTAATCTATTACTAGCAGTTGCCCGTTGCTTCGCATCGGGAGTAGTAGTATTACTATATAATATTAAATTTTTAGTCACAATTAGAAGCTCACTTTGATTATTAATTAGATTATGAGAGTAATAAAATATAAATTAATTTAAATAAAATAATATGCAGGTAAATATTGTTATGTATCTATATAATTAAAAACAAATTAACTAAAAAAAATTTGTTGATACAAAAAAAAAAAAATTTTTACACGAATTTATTAGTCAGAAACAATATCATTGACTAAAAAAAATTCTCATCAAAACATCAAAAAATTTGTAGGACATAGTTCTAATTTGATTATAGTTTTGATCCGATCTAAACTAAAAAAGAATAATAATATTCTTTTGGGTTAAAAAAAAATTAAAAAAATTTTGATAAATTCCGATTAAAAAAAAATCCAATAAAAATATAATAAAAAAAGAATAAGAAAAAATTTTGGTTAAAGTTAACCGAAGGGATAAAAAAATTAATGAAAAAGATTAAAAAGGTAGTTTCAGTCTTTACGGTAAAATACTGGTAAAATCCGAAATAAAAAAAAATTATTATTGTCTATCCAATAGAAATGGTTAGTTGTGGTAACTAAGAGAGTGGTAATAACCGCAATTAATATACTTTTCTTTGTTAGTATTAATTTATTAGAATAAAAAAATCCAGTTAAAATTTTAATTAACCGGAAATGTATCAGTTTAAAGATTTTCTTAATTATGATGATATGATAAATACGAAATAGATCGGGCGCAAGAATATACATTTTCAATGTTACACAATTCAAATTATTTATATGTCTAATCTAAATATGACAATTTTTTTTTAATTAGATAGATTAGCAACAATTATATGTTATAATGTAATTTTAAAATTTTAACATATTTTACAGATTTTACTTTCAATTGAGCAACCACCAACCAGTATAAATTTATCTATAAGTTGTTTTCACTGATGTTCCATTTATTTAACTCTTTTTGATATAACAATTTTTATACTAAGTTTTCACTTGCTTACAATTCTTACAATTAAACAAAATACAGATTTTATACACTGGCCTACAATAAATTACCAGATTTTTTTTTATTTATAGAAATTATATTTAAAACTTAAAATTTTTCACGCATTATAAAAAAATTTTTTGTACTTATTAATTAACAAAAAAATTTTTTTTAAAATAAAATACTGATTATGAAGTTTATTATTATTATTTAAAAATTTAAACTTAATATGATTAGTATTTGGTGTGCCCACCTTTAGCTTTAATTACTGCTTTAATGCGCTTTGGTAAGCTTAAAATTAGGTGATGTAATGTTTCGATACTAATTTTCCTCCATTCCTCTTGTACCACATTAATTAATTCCTGTTTAGATTTAGGTAAAGGCTTCCTTTTACGTACTTGATAGTCCAAATAGTTCCACAAGTTCCCGATCGGATTGAGATTAGGACTTTGCGCCACCCAATCCAAAATTGGAATGTTATGCGTTGTTATCCACCAAACGCTATAAGAAGATGTATGACATGATGCTCCATCTTGTTGAAAAATAGAATCAGGGTAATTACTAACCCATGGTATAAAATGGTTGGACAAAATATTGACATAATCATCTGAATTCATATTTCCTTCCACCACAACTAAAGGTCCAACTCCATGCCAACTGAAACAACCCCAAAACATCACTGATCCTCCTCCAAACTTTACTGTTAGTTGAATACAATTTTGATTGTAAGCCTCTCCAGGGCTTCTCCACACTCTTACACGACTATCTGACTCAAAAAGGGCAAACCTTGACTCATCTGACCATACCACTTTCTTCCATTCTTCTTCCCAGTTTTTTTTATCTTTACAACATCTTAACCTATCACTCCTATGTTTTTTGGTTAAAAGAGGTTTTTTACGAGTTGCATAACTACCAAGACCTTCATTATGAAGATAATTTCTAATTGTATTATAGTATAAAGTTGTGTCAAGGCTTGAGTTTAGTCTGTTTGTTATGTCACCAAGAGGAGAAAACCGGTCAGACCGAACAACACGTTGTAAAGCGCGTGTATCACATTCAGTGAGTATTTTTGGACGACCAGGGTGTTTAGCAGGTGTTGCAGAACCTGTTTTTCTGTATCTCTTTATTGTGTCATATACCGTACTTGTGGGGATACCAAGTTGAACTGAAATTTCTCTCTGCTTGGCACCGCCAAGAAAAGCCCCAACAATACGTTCACGAAGAGTTTCTGAAAGCTCGTGATATAGAAACACTTCGAAGTGTTTATTTTTTTGTTTATATGTGCGATAGGGAGAAATCGGCGATTGTGAAACATGCGCACAAACTCACATGACAAAAATCTGGTAATTTATTGTAGGCCAGTGTATTAACTATTATTTCTTCAAGTCTTCTTAAAATTTTCTAACTGTGAATTAAAAAAATAAAATATGATTAAGTGTAGTAAAATGATAATAACAATACACATTGTATGTATGGTATGATTTTTTCATCATTAATCCGTGGATATGAAAATTTGCAGCTAGAAAAAAAAAAATTTTTTTATTTATTTAGTTAAGAACGTTTATTTATGTTCTTTACATTTTTATTTTTTCGGAAAATGGCTCCTTGGAGGCTTGGACCTTTAAGATGAAATGGATGCAAGGTAAAGCCAAAAAAAATTTATTATTATTTATTCGTTAAAGAACGTTTACTAACGTTTCTTTATATTTTTTTAGTTTTTATTTCGTTGTTTCCCTATAAAAAATTTTATCCATTATTTCTGTAAAACTCCATAAAAATGAGCCTTTCACGGATCCATTCACGGAAAATGTAAATAATTCGATAAATTCCGCGATATAAGGTTATTAATTCCGGAATATGAGCCTTTTACGGAAAAAAAATAGAGTATAAAAAACGGATTGACTTTTTTTACAGGGTTTTATTCGTTAAGAACGTTGACTAACGTTCTTCTTTAAATTTTTTTTAGAAAACAGCTCCATCTATGATAAGTTTATCAATATAATTATTACCGCTTGTCCAATTTTCAAAATTTTGTTAAAAATGCATTAATGCATTTCATTACATATAATGTTATACTTTTCATATATTTCATTCCAAACTACCATACATAATCAAATAATTTATCGTAAGGTATCCATTTCAAATTTTTCTAAATATATATCCATATTCTTTAAAATCTGGTAGATTAATTCATCAATGGTCTCAAAACGTATTGTAAAACGGTCCATGTCTAATAATCTATAATTTAAAAAAATTGTTAGAAATTAAACAAAAAATTTGAATAATAAGAGAGAAAATTTTTTCACCCGTGGCTGTATAAATAGGAGTTGACATTTACTTTGCGTAACAATCGAGTAGTTAGACCCGAATAATACTGGGTAACAAAAGACAAATACTGAGACCAGAAATTACATAATGCCTCCCCTGGAACAATTCAAAAAAGAAAGAAACTACATGCCTTGGTTTGCGGGGTCTTGCATGTAATACAAAAATTACTTTTATTTAAATTTAAAATTAAATTTTTTTTTTTTTTTTAGTATAACGAAATACTTTATTATTTATATGATAAAATACATAAAATACATCATGATCAGTTAAAATTAAATTAAATTGATATTGTTTGACGAATCTAGTTAATTTGTAAGAAGTTAGAATTTACTAAAATCGTAGTTTATAGCTACTGTTGAAATTTATGTATTCTAATATAAATTGATCGATCAATCATCGATTTTGAAAAAAATTTCTTTATTAAATTTTGATTTGACATCATTTTTTTTTTGTGATTGGTCAACAGTTTGATTCAATTGAAGCCAACATTTTGTGATAGATTAATTGATTGGGCTCACTAAGGAATACTTGAGATTAAGCTAATGGAAATAAAATATTGATGAATTAATACAACAATCTGATGAAATGTTACCACTTACCAGAGTGGTTTGTAAAATTTATTTAGCTGACTGTGCTGAAAGAAATATTAAATTTGGGATATTGAAAATCAAAAATAAATGAAATTAAAATTACATTAAAGACCTAAATAATTCATGTATTTATTAACAAAGTTACTCTTTATTAGATAAATATCATTGATATTTCAGGTCATTTTCATTGTATATTATAGATAATGATTATATGATAAAAATACATATTGTAAAGGTAGAAATAAAAAAAATTTTTTAATGAATAACTTGATAATTGTATAATTAAATTTATTCTCAAATAAAAGAATTTGAAAAAAATTAGAAAATAAAATTAAAGAAAAACAAAATGAAACTAAAAATCTTTAAACATTACTTATTTTTTTCATTATTAAATACTTGAATTGCAAATTAAATAAATAGGTTAGACATTTGTTTTTAAATATGATAAAATCTAAAACTTTTAGTATTATTTCTTACATAAATTCCTTTTTATTTTCAGTAATTTACCATTATATTATAAAATTTGCAATAAAAAACATTTTCTATTTCTTTAAAGTTGACATCATGCTAATTTTATGTAAAAAAGCTAATGGTAACGAATCGCCTTATAAATATTTTCTCCCTTACTTTTGACCTCCACTTCCTTACCCTTTTTACTTTTGTTCCCAATTTTTATTATATAAACTATTAAATAGTAACTTAGAAACTAACTCCGCCTAAACTATTTAACATGAAAGCTACATTTATCAGTAATTTCTTAGTTAAAGACAAAGTAATACTTTCTACTTGTGTGATGTAACATTATCTTTCTTTAAGTGTACATAATGAACAACAACTCAGGAACCATCAAGATTAGTCTGTAGATCTAAGCTCCTGATTCGTGGGCAGTACTGAAGTACATTGTATTCAGTCGGTAAAAATTGAGTTTTATTTATATATGTGATCTTTCGGTAAAAATTTGTGGTTCCTGGTATCACGTTGACTGACGCTTCTCGTAAACTGTACTGTACAACCTCTTAATGCTATCGTCTCTAGTTCAATTAGTTCAGTAATAATTTACCTAACGGAAAATGAACCATTAATATTGACGATGATAAAGAAAGCATGGGTGTAAAACCAATAGCGCACACCAAATAAAAGAAAAAGAAGAATGATTCATCAAATTTTCACATCATCAGATAAAAGGAGCAAGAAATGAAACCGTTACGTCTTTAAAGGTGTCTTACAGCTCTGATTGTATCGTAAACACTATATAGGAAATTTTTACATCGTAACCATGACTGTCCTCTTTAGTTGAGTTGCTCCCGTTCTTTCTCATAAAGTAGTTATGAACTTAGTAATGAAACGTTTTGAAAATTCTTTGGAATATTGTCCATAAATATTCTTTGGTGCTTTTGTCATACTTTTTTACCAACATCTTGTTGAGTAATTTTAAATTTCATTATTTATTAATTTTACATATTTTTTATAGTGGCTTCCTAGATTAATGACGAAACCACAAATGATCAGCATCATGTAACATAACCAAGAGCATAATTTGTATATATATGTAGAATTAAGAATTTTTGAAAGTTTTATAAAAATTAAATATAATCCGCATAATAAGTCAAATAAAGAATCAAAATTTAGTGTCATTTAATTTTAATAATAATTATTCGTAATAAAAATTGGCAACAAAAAAAAAAAAACAAAAAAAAATTCTATAAAAAATTTAAATATAATAAGTAATTATATTATTGAGACAGTACAGTATTCTGTATATTATCGCAGTTTTCAGAATTCTGTGTACGTTGTGATGATTGAGTGATTATGATTGCAGGACGATTACAGGACGATTACAGGACAATATTGTCCGATTTTTGTCTGGTAATTGTCCTGTAATCTAATAATTTTTTTATTAGATAATCTATAGGGGGTAGCACAATTTTGAAAAGTGTGATAAAAAAAAATTGAGTAAAAATAAATAAATCTATAATAATTTCTTATATAAAATACGATTAATCTTACATCAATTAATTAGTTACCTAAATTATTTAACATGGTTTTCATTAGTTTCCACAATATCTAAGCCAATAGAAAATGTACTAATTTCTAGACAAATTTCAAAACTAACAAAATAAATAAACTCATAATTATACAATAGCACCTACTATCATCCGCTATTAAATTACCGTATTTTTCCAAAATTAGTCACCCCCCGAAATTAAGCACCCCTACCAACTTTTCGTACTTTGATAACAAGATTTTTATACAAAATACTAGTAAAAAAACTTCCAAAATTAAGCACCTCCCCAAGTTTTTAACCAAAATCCTTGTAAAAAGGGGTGACTAATTTTGGAAAAATACAGTATATTATTTTATACAATGAGACTTACCCTATTTTTTCTGAAACTTTAAAATCCGAATCTTATTTAAATGACCAAAAAACAAGAAACCCTTAGTCATGAGGTCAAAACATTAACACAAAAATTCTAAATTAAGGATCATTATGTAATATCAATTAGGGAAGATTTGCATTTAATGATAAATAAGATTTAACGTAACGTCCAATTTATTTATTTTTTTCTATTCGAATTACTTTTTTTTAAAAAATAATTTTTTTTCAATTGAGTATACTAGCTAAACATATATAAGTGTTATATAAAATATTAATAAAATGGATACTTCAAAACAAAATTCAGATACAACTGAGATTACAACAAGAGATAATTCTAAACCTGTTGTTAAAAATTTATGGAAAGTAGGCGATGGTGAATATCAGGTAAAAATATTATAATATAATAAACAATATAGATATTTATTAAAATTTTTTAATCTTTCATTTTGATAGTTTCACGCTACAATTTTTTCAACTGATTCAACTGCTGAAGATGAAACTATTTTATTTTTTAAAAAAGTAAATATTATGGATTTAGAAAAAAGAAAAAAAGTATACGGAGTATGTGGAGAGTGTAATGAACCAGGTACAGGATCTCGTTGGTGTCAACCTTGTAATGCTAAAAGATTTAAGGAAAATTTTAAAAATTGGACTAGTGGAAATAAAAATATTGATGAATTAATACAACAATCACAACTTAATGCTTTTTATTGCACAAGAAGTCTTGAATGGATACCTTTTGAAAATTTTGAAAATGTTACCTATCTTACTAGAGGTGGTTTTAGTAAAATTTATTCGGCTGGCTGGCCCGAAGGAAATATTGGGCATTGGGATATTGAAAATCAAAAATGGAAACGAACTTCAAGAAAAGTTGCATTGAAATGTTTAAATAATTTATTTAATAATATAAGTAATGATTTTTTAAATGAGGTAATTAAAATAAATATTGCTTACTAATATTTGTATTTTAATACATAATTTATTAACAAAATTTCTCTTTTAATGATTTTAGATTAAATATTATATTTCATGTCATTTTCATGCTACTAATACTGTTGTGTGTTTTGGAATAACTCAAGATCCAGATACTAAAGATTATATGATGGTTTTAGAATATTTTGGGGGAGGAAATTTGAGAAATATTTTAACGAAAGGTTTAGATTATAAAACAAAAATGGAATTTTTATTTTGTATTATAGATGGACTTTCAGGTATTCATGATGCTGGAAATATTCATAAAGATTTTCATTCGGGCAATATATTACATGATAATAAAGATGATTTACTATCAATTAGTGATTTGGGAATGTGTGAACCAGTACTAAATAATAATGAACAAAAAGGAATTCACCTTATATGGCACCCGAAGTTTTACGTGGATATCAATATACATAAGCAGCAGATATTTACTCATTTGGAATAATAATGAATGAACTTATGTCAGAAGAAATTCCTTATAGTGATAATCCTAATGATAATTTTTTGGTTGTCAAAATATGTAAAGGATTTAGACCAAAAATTTCTGAAGTTACACCAAAATTAATTGTAGATTTGATTATTAAATGTTGGGATGCTAAAGCAGCAAATAGACCAACTGCTAAAGAGTTGCGTCAAATATTCTTTAAATATGATTTAGAAATGGAAGATGAAAACAGTGAAATTAGTTATCAAATAAAAGAATGTGAAAAAATTAAAGAGAATAAATTAAAAAACAGAACAAATGAAAATCAATCTAAAAATCACCCACAAGCAATTTATACTAGCAGACTTTTAAATTTTGAAAATCTTCCAGAACCAGTTAATTCAACTGATTATTTATCTTCATTTCAAGGTAAATATACGTTTAAAAAATTAATAAGAAAATATATTTTATTGATTTTTTTATTTTTTTTTAATAGAAACTATTTCATCATCAGCAAATCCAAGTATATATTTGCATTATTAAAGATTATTGTGATTATTATATAATATTATTTTCATTTTATTAATAGTTTTTGAATGTTTGGATTGTGAATTAAATGAATTAGGTAAGACATCTGTTTTTTAAATATATGAAATTATTAGTTTAATTTAATTATTATTATCTTTTTTTTTTATAAAAAAATATTAAAAATAGATCTCAATCAAGACGATGATGAATAAATTTTGAGTAAATTTATTTATTGCCCATAGTGATGCATCTCCTCTGGGCAAAATTACGTAATACCAACCAAAATAAAGAGTGACACGGGTGACAAAAGGTAGCGATGACATCGCACGCGTGATGAATAATTTTAAATTAGTATATTGTCAAAAAATTTTAGTAGTTTCTTTTTGTTATATATTATTCCATTTTTTTATAAAATTCTTTTTTATTTTAGTACTTTTATTAATATATTATCTTGGCAAATTTCTTTATAAATTTTTTATTTTTATTATATAATGTAGCGACGTGACTTTATTTGATCAAATTTAAACTATAAAATAAATACATCATCTTGTATACTATTTTATTCTCAAAATAATATAGACAACTAAAAATTTTAGATATTCTTTGACTAAAATTTTTAATTATCAAATTCGTATTGTATATACTTAATAGTAATTGTGCGGCAAATTTGACGGATTGGCATGATTTAATTAATTATTGGCGAAACAGAAAATTATGTGACTCCAAAACTTTAAAACATTCGGTAATCGGTACTTTATACAAAAAAAAAAAATATCTCATTCTTTAATTTCCTATTATTTAATTTTATTTTTATTTTCAGCTAAATCAAGTTTTATAAGATTTTATTACCACCACTTTTCTTCGCATTTTCATGATAGTAACAAAATAATTTATAGTTTTGAGTGTAAAATATATGCAAATTTAAGGTATATACTTTATTTAAAATAAACATTAACAATATATAACAACAAATGTGTGTAATAAATTCTAATAAACAATGAATAAAGAAATAAATCATTAAATAAACGAAAAATATTGCCTTCCGCCAGAGATTTTAAATATTCCATTAGAGACTAAAAAACTAAAACTAAGAATCTCCTTCGTTCTACCTTCTATATATACTACATCTTTGATTCGTGTAAGTTATCCTTGGTATAAGCTATACTTCGTATATTCTTATAAAATTTAAGTTATACTAAATTATACGAGGTATATAACTTACACTTCGGATTGATTATATGATATATGCCAATTTCTTGCCGATATCTGTACATCTTTTCTTATTTTCATAAAAACTATATACACATACTGATTCCATGCAACAATATCTAATAAATCACATCATTTATTTATATTTTATTAAAAAAAAAAAATTTTTATAATGAATAAGTTGTCGAACAATTTTTTTTACCGGACGCAAGTAATAAACTAGATTATAATCAAAATATATAAACTTACTGTTGCTTCACATTATATAAAGCAAAAGGCCAATCCATTGATAGGAAAAAATGTATTTATACTATATTAAGATAACATTTATATATTTCATTAGACCAATGTATTTTTATAATTGTATTGGTTCTGCTTTTTTTGTGTGAAACGACTGAAATGTGTATAAATTATTTATTGATGTTAACAGAAGCAAAAAAATAATATTCTGTCGTTATTTATCAAGAAAAAGTCAGAAAATACAAATTTACTTCTTGTTACATTATTATCATCATTATTTTAAAAGGAAGATTAAATAATTAAAGAAAGTGGTTTTTGCAACCTAACAGTCATGTGCTTATCACCAAATTCGTATCTATCTTGTGATATTTTTTGCTAAGTTTTCAATAATATTTTGATAAAGCTTTGATGAAAACCAGTCTTGTAATAGTAGCGAGCTGGAATAATAATCTTTAAAGATAGCAAATGACGTCAAACATTAATCAGAGCAAATTAATCTGAGACATTTGTGCGATGTATCTGCGAGTATACAATTGTACTTAAGATAGTTTTTTTTTTTGAATTGTTAAAAATCTGTGAAATTAGATGTAAATATCAATTATAAGCTATTATCAGTAAACTGAAGATTGTAAGCAATAATAATTAATAAATTCTATTATCAGTAAACAAGAGGTCATTTTCATGGGGGAGCTTGACATGCTTTTAAAAGATCTTTAAGTGAAAGTATTGTAAAAAAAAAATGACTTCAATAAATATATTGTTGATCTCTCCTTTATAAATAAGCTTCATTAATTTTTAATTCTAGCTTTTTCTTAAATAAAATGAATAAACAAATGATGTTTTCTATTTATAATGAGTAAATTAGGCAGATTTCGGTTTATTATAAGTTAAAATAGTAGTAAAATTTAAGGGAATTGCTAAACGTCGCCGGGCGAGGTTTTTTTTCAATGTCACATGATGTACATGTACAATATAGAGTAAGGATTTTTTTTAGCTAATTTCTGATCGGCTAAACTCAAAATTTTATCACAAAAGATATTTTAAAAAAAAAAAATTTTGCAAACATATTTATTCAAAATAATCTTATCTAATGAAATTTTATTTGCAAATATTAAAATTTAAGTCACATTTACGATTTTAAAGAAAAAACCACAATATTTTTAATGAAGTGATACAATAAAAGAAATAATAGCAAATTACAATGATCAAAGATGCTAATAAAAAAAAATGAATTAACAATGAAGTAATGGAAAGTAATAGAAGGTGAAAGGGAGTAAAAAAGAGTAGTGAGAAGTGATAGGAAACAAAAAGGAGAAATATGGCATGATGGTAGATGGAAGAGGAGTGATGGGAGACGAAAAGGAGTGATGAAAAAATGAAGAGGAGTGATGGGAGACGAAAAGGGGATGACCGGATGAGAAGATGAAGAGGAGTAATGGAAAGATGAAGAGGAGCGATGGGAGATGAAGAGGAGTAAAAATTTATTAAAATTGTAAAATTTAATAAAAAATTTTCCAATAAATTTTCAATCAATTTTTTATAAAAAAAATAAAAAAAAAGATCTCTAATGAAATTCTTTATTAAAAAAATTTCAAGCCAAAATTCTCGATACACTTATTTAAAAAAAACTATTTTCAATAAAATTTTCTATTAGATTTCAAAAAAATAAAAAAATTTTTCAACAAATGATTCTCTAATGAAATTCTCAATCAAAAAAAATATCCCCGATTAAAGAAAAATTCAAAAAAACTCCTCTCCTATTAAAAAAAAAATCTTTATCGAAATTCTCTATCAAAAAAAAAAAATCTCCCCTGTTAAAAAAATTTACACTAAACCAAATCAAAAAAAAAAAATCTTACTATTAAAAAAAAATTCTATGATGAAATTTCTATCAAAAAAAGAAAAAAAAATTCTCAGCGAAATCTATTAAAGAAAAATTCTTTAATGAAATTCTCTATCAAAAACAATTCCCCTATTAAAAAAAAATTCTCTAATAAATTCTCCGTCAAAAAATACTTTCACCTATTAAAAAAAATTCCCAAAAGAAATTATTTATAAATGAAAACTCCCTCCTGTTAAAAAAAAATTCTTAACGAAATTCTCTATCAAAAAAAAATCAAAAATTTTCTAACGAAATTATCAAAAAAAAAAAATCTCTCCTGTTAAAAAAAAATTGTTCCAACAAATTAAGTATAAAAAAAAAATTCTCCAATGAAATTTCTATCAAATAAAAGTTTTTAACGAAATTATCCATCAAAAAAAAAACTCAGAAATGTCCCTATCAATGAAAAAAATTTTTTAACGAAATTTTTTATCAAAAAAAATCTTTTATTAAAAAATTCCCAAAGAAATTCTATCAAACAAAGCCTTTGCCTATATTAAAAATAAAAATCAACCCTGTGCTGACAAAGGAACTAAGTTTTGACATCATCGAGTATAGTCGAATTAAATCAAACACAGTTGGACAAAAACATCAAGCACAAACGGACAAAAATAATGCACGGACGGATAAAAATGTCAAGCATGGTCGGATAAAACCATCAAGCACGTACAGATATCAAGCATAAAAAATAAAAATATCAAGCACGGTGTAACATTTTGTCAATCCATGCTTGATTTTTCACCCACCCAATGCCTCATAGTTTAGGTAAATAGATAAACTGTACTGTACGGTCAGCTGTACGAAAATATTTTAGCCAATCATAACTCATTGTATACTTTTCAAATTTTTTTAATTTTTTTTATTTATCGTACAGTAAAATCTGTTCTCACTTCGTACAGTACAGTTTAGCTAACCGTACAGTACAGTTTTTATGTATACTCATTAAATAACTTATGATCATAAGAATACTAAATATTATAAAATCTAATTTTACGTAAGTCATAACATGTGTTACACTGATGACTGATCCAAAAATACCGTTGTTAAATTACTAAAAATATACATAATCAACGAGTTCTAGACTTCTAGTTATAAACCGGAATTGGCGTATTTAAAGTGGATTGTTTTTGTTTTTTTTGTTTTTTTTATTATTCATTCCCACCTTCAAACATGCCGCCGAAACAAATAAACCAACAAACAAACAACAGGCCATTTTAAAGAAAAATTAAGGCAACAAAGCGAACAAGTCATAACAATACCTTCAGTAGAAGAAAATGAAATATCTCCTTCTGACCATAATGTCAATAATGAACGTCACTTACCAAGTCACCAGAACAAAAATCTTACTATACCAGTAGTAACGCCATATCAGCCGATCAATGATCTTCCTACTAGTTATTCACAAGCAAATGTTGGTCGGGTATTTTTATCTCAGAATGTTGACAGTCAATTTACTCAATTTAGATGTTTGAGCGGTCATTTTCATATGAATCAGGAGGCAAACTATCACTTTATGCCGCCGAAACAAATAAACCAACAAACAAACAACAGGCCCTTTTACAAAAAAAAAAAAAACAGACAAAGTAAAAATGTCAAACTTCGGAAAATTCAGAGAGCAATTGAACATCAAAGTAGGTTTTTTTTTTTGAATAAAATAACCCACTTAAACTTTCACTATTATTTATTCGCTGTAATCAGGTGTTTCGCTCGTATTCGTTATTTTCGGGTTATTTCGCTCGATTTTTTTCTTTACTTGCTCGATTTTTTTTTTATACTCTGGTGATTTGCTTGGATAAGTGTTAGTTAACCCTCTTCATTTTAAAGAAAAATTAAGGCAACAAAGTGAACAAGCCGTAACAATACCTTCAGTAGAAGAAAATGAAATATCTCCTTCTGACCACAATGCCAATAATGAACGTCACTTACCAAGTCACCAGAACGAAAATCTTATACCAGTAGTAATGCCATGTCAGCCGATCGATGATCTTCCTAGTTATTCGCAAGAAAATGTTGGTCGGGTAGTTTTATCTCAGAATGTTGACAGTCAATTTACTGAATTTAGATGTTTGAGTGGTTATTTTCATAAGGATCAGGAGGATTTAGATAGGTGTTATAAGAATTTTATTAAGAAATATGGTAATAGCGTTGATAAATTTATGGATATTTATAGTTGTAATAGACTTGAAGCAGAAGATTTTATTTTAAAGTACAGTCAACTCTTCTTATAACGATTTTTTTTTCAATATAACGAAGATATTTTGTGTATAAAATACAATTATTATACAACAATATACCATAATATAACAAAACTTTCCGGGCTATACCAGATTTCCTATCATATTAACGAATATTCATATAACGAAAGGCCTGACGCCCATTTCGTTATATTAAGAGTTGACTGTATACATGATATAATTTTGAAATATAATTTCAAAAACAATAAAAAATAACAATATATATATTATATATGATGCTCTATAATTTCCTAGTCAAATTTAAATGGTAAAACCCATTTTATGTCCTTTACCTGTTACCAATTACCACTCTTATATTATTTTTTTATTTTAATATTAGACTTGCTTAGAATACTTGAAATGAGTAATTTACAGTGTCTTTTACTTTTCAGATTCAGAAGAACTGGGCAGTTTATAAACCCGAAAATAACGAAAAAATAAAAAAAAATAAAAATATTTACGATCATGTATACAGAATATTTCGATCGTAATGCTTAGGAACATTTACGTTCGGGATTTTGATCTAATCATTTTGATCACTTTTTTTAACGTGTCTGGTGTCTAGTGAAGTTTTAATACGCGCCTTCAAAAAGTTTATTATACCTTTATGGTATTAACTATTTGCCATTTTAAAAATAAAAATATTTATTATATTTTTTTTTTTTTAATTAGTAACGCGTTTATTAATTATGGTACTAATTATGTAATTTAGTAATTTAACTAATTTAACTCTCGTTCCCCAATTATTTTTAATCGATCTACCGCCAGTGACATCTCCTAATAAACCATCTCTTGTCACTAATTTAATTAATTTTTCTCTATTTTCATTTAAACTATTTTTATTTGTTTTTTCATTTTTTCTTATTTTTTTTAGCATCGTCCCTATCATCATTATCTTCTTTTCTTCTTTTCCTTTTTCTCTTATCCTTATTATCTATACCTTTTTCATTCTCTATTTCAGCCACTTCATCACATCTACTTATCCAAATTCTCGTTCTATATTTATCGTAACAAAATCTCCAAAATTTTTTAATCAAATTTTTTTTTTTCCTTTTTTTTGAATTTTCTATTATATGCGCCTCTCAAAAGTTCCCATATTCTATTATATCCTATTAAGATATCTGATTGGTGTAACATTATTTCATTTAAAGCTAATATTAATATCTCGAAATAATTCAATTTCATCTATTTTATCTTTTGATATTAATATTTCTTCGTACTCATTTATTGCTTCATATAGAATTTCTTCTAAATTAGCTTCGTTTCTTTCACACTTCATACATGATACCAATCTTCAATTTCATTATTGCATCTTGGACATATCAGATATATCATTTACTATTTCATTCACTTCTCTTTTATATAAAACTCCATAAGTTGGCAATTCTTTTAACAAATTCTTAATTTTATATGAATCTTCATCACTACATTGCCAAAAGGTGAACTTATTTTGATTACTTATGAAATTCAACGTTTCGACCCAATCGAATTCATTTTTAAAATTTAAATAAAACAATTCTGCTATTTAGAATTCATCCTTCCAAATAGCTTGCGTACATTTCTTACGCCATCCTCTTATATCACCTGTTATCAAATCATATTTTCAATACAAATTAAATTCGTTGGCCTTTAACGCTTCTTCTATAACCTCTACTCCATAGGTCTCAAAGTTATCCTTACCCAAAAAAATTTCTTGCTTATTTTTCCTTTGTAATAAGAGATTAGGTTCCTAGTGATTAATTACTATAACAAAATACTTCGTGATAATTGTGTTCATAAATATTACATAATAAAAAATATCATTTATCTTAAAGACTTGCTTTTATCATAATCATACACTGGCCCATAATGCTAACGCCAGCAGTTAGAATACCAACATTTATATTTTTATTTATTAATATTGTAAATGATTATTTATATAACTATGTGCATCAATATATAAATCATGGTATTTTTGAACTATAATATTATGCATATCGGCTGATTGGAAAAATCAAGCCAATTAATATTTAAGCTCAGTTGATGGGTTTATTATATAACTGATGGGTTACTTATTGTCATTTAGCATATAAAATTATGGGAGGCTTTTCTGATCAGCCGATATGGTGATTTATATTCATTTACTTCATCTATTAAAAAAAATAATTCGACAGGTTGTATACCACCATTAGAATCCGATTCTAAAATAGCCAAATATTTAACCCTTTCCTTTTTCATAATATATTTCTTTATAAAAAATAAATACTTGTATCTTCACTTCTCGGGGATGATGTATGCAGGAATACATTATTAATTAATAATTTTTTGATAAAAGTATTTTGTGAATTTTTTAAAAATATTTCTAGATCACTTTTAATAAAAGAAAGAGCTAAACATAAATATTCTAACCTAGAAGGAAGAACCTGTCCTAAATTTCGTAATAAAGTTGAACTTTCTTCATAAAGAGTATGATTTTCGATAAAATCTCCTTTAATGGTAAGATAATTAACTAGAGTAACTTGGTAATTGTTAGTGAGTTATAATCATTATACTGTCAGATTGACTCGAAAATTTTGGGTCGGGTCATCAAACGTTTTTATAATTAACTAGAATATGCGATTTGCCAGGGGACTTCGTCCCCCAAACATAACATTTATAATTAAAAAAATTTTTTGATATAAATAAATTGAATTGTATGTAAAATATTACCAAATAATAAAATTTTATTATAATTAAACCTATAAAAAATCATGTTTTTAATAAGGTTTTATACAATTTTTTCTTAAAAATAATGTTTCTAATCTATATAGGGATACGGAAAAATGCACAATTCCATATCACAAAAATGTATCATTTTGCATGATTTGACCATAATTTATGCCGAATTTATATTGATTTGATCACAGAAATTACATAATTTAAGCATAGAATTTACACGATTTGGTTAATGAATTTACTGCTTAAATTACAATTATTAATATTAGTTGCATTTATATGAATTTAATTTTAATAATATTTTACTAAATTATTAAATCAAATATAAAAATAAAAAAAAATCCTTAGTATCATGTGATTATAATTAGCCAATAATATAAATTAATTCTTATTATTTAAAATAATGACGTATCTTCTAGTAATAAAATAAAATAAAATAAATAAATAAAATAATGACGTAAGTTGTAATAAGTGTTTTAAAGTTAATACAGCTACAAAAAAATAAAATTTTATGAAAATTAATATTCAAGTGCTTTTAACCTGCCTGAACAACTTT